GTCAACTGGCAACCAAAATCTCAACATTGAGAACCAAGGATCGACGGGCCAACATGATCATAGACTTACATATTTTCCACATCTGATCTTTTTTTTTTCTTTTTCTTCTTTTTTTTTTGATTGAACGAATATATGCTTAATCCCAAGACATTCAAGTCTTTTGACGTGAACTCTGACATTTTTAGCTGAAAGAGCCCAGTTACTCAACTTTTCACAACTCCTGGACTATTTACTCATAGATATCGCCTCTTTTTGACGCGAGAGTCGATACTTGTGGTGAAAACTCCCGGTTACTGGGTGACGACACTAGCGGAGTATAGCCATATGTTATTCACAATAAAATACCAAAATACCAGGCAATTAAGGATCATAGCCCACGTCATCTCCTAAATATGGAGAACCAAGGTCAACAGGGGACCAATCCACACAACAGTGTCAGCAAAATATTTATATTGCCTAAACAAGTTAGCCATAAATTGCACCAAGTTATTAAACTTAAAATATTCACCAAGACAACATGCTCTTACTTGCCACCGAAACTAAATTCATAGAGTAAACTACAACTAGCAATAGAAGAGTGAGCTGCCAAAATATTCAACAAGATAACTGCAAGCCAGGCAGAAAATTAAAGGAAGGCAGAAAATTGTCGAATCCGAGTCCCCTCTAGGTCAAACAGGAAAAACACCTAAACTAAAAACAAAGGGAAAACACCCAAAAACTGAAAATTGGAAATACTAGCACCCAAACTAACCCCCCCACACGTAAATCACACATTGCCCTCAATGTGATAAACTAACAGCAAAAGGAAGGAGAAGAGCAATGGTACTTCCCTGAAGTCGTCAAAACATGGGCGGGTGTGCGGGAATTGAGGAGCAAGACCCGTATGGTGCATACGTGCTGCCAAATTCTGCACCATGTTATGCAAGTTGATGTCAATGTGGGTTACTCGAGTCTCCAGTCTCTTAACTGTCATCCGGAGTTGGAGCCAGTCATCGACCTCTGGGGGAGGATCGTGGCTTGATCATGGTAACTAGTAGGCAATCCAAACAATAAAATGCACAATGCAGGCACCCAAAATCGCAGCAGGTGTTCCAATGAACTAAGTAATTGAAATGAACAAGACAAAATACTCCCACACAAGGCAATTAGGGGCAACCCACTTCAATAAGCAAATGCAAACGGCACCTTCATATCCCAATTCAACAAATGAACGCAGAAAAGTACCCACAATACCAGGACACAGCTCCCAATAATGCACCAAAACAACAACTCAAACAAACTAAGAGCGATGCCAGTGTCTACTCAAAACAACAAATCGCAACAATTGGACACAATTCCACCCAAAATCTCAACAATGGTGTCGAAATGGGCAGTCAACTACCCAATGCAACCAACCCATATTAGCAAATGACCCACGAAAATGATAACTCCAGCAGCCACAGTTCAGAATGCGGACTAAAATAACTCAAGCACAAATGTCCCGTAGTCAATTAAGCAACCAATAACATAAGAGGGATAAATTTTATACACACTATCACAACCAGTACCATTGGTGTGCCCCACAGAAAATGGAACAACTCGAACTTCCAAGCAAATCAATCAAAATCTCAAACTAGTCACCCACGGTCAAGATAAAAGGTCTAAGCAAACGCCCAGTTTGAATCAATAAACAGACTATCTCCGGCAGGTCAATTAAATTCACCCAAAAGCTGTAAGTAAAGAAAATGGCATCCACACAAATTATGGCCCACAAATAACATCAATCTACTCAATTAGAAAGCAGCAAAAGGGCTTTAGTGAAAACGAAAGGTGAGCCACACACTTGAGAGTGCAAAATCGCAATCAAGGGTTGAAGAAAATGTGTACCGACGCCCCAAGTGTGAAGGCGGCACCGTCGGGTGGTTGTCTTGAGGGTGGAGGTGTGCGTGGACAGCGGCGTGCGGACTGAGGAGCTGCGCAGACCAGTGACGGAGCTTCGCGCAAGGGGAAGGCCCCGCGAGGACAGAGGCATGCGGCGGCGTGGAGCTGGTGGCGCGCAAGCTGCGTGGGCTGAGCTCACGTGCTGCGTTCGGTGGTGGAGGTGTGTGGGCTGCAGGCGGTAGGTGGCGGACGCGGATTGGTGACTTTGGAGTGCTAGGGGGCGCGTGAAGGAGAGGAGTGGAGCAGCGTTCGGCTGTCGGCTGCGCTTGTGGGTAGCGGGTGATGGCCGCACTGGTCACGGAGAGAGAGAGAAAAATCGAGCAGTGGAGAGGGGCTGGCGGCGTGCAGCTAGGGATCTCGGTCGAAGAAGAGAAGGGAAAGGGGAAAGCGAGGCAGCGGGGAAGAAAAGGAAGAAAAGAGAAAGAAAGAAAGAAAGAAGAAAGAAAGAAAGAAAAAGAAAGGAGAAAAAGAAATAATAATATTAGCTTTTGGTCTATTTTCTACTCTTTTTTTTGTAAATTTTTTTTTGTTTTTGAATTTAATTTTCAAAATTTGAATTTTTGAAGAAAACACAAAACTGAAGGTTTAAAAGGAAACTTTTTTTTTTTTAATTCATGTTTTGGGTCGTCAAACACCGCGTGGGCCCGCCAAGATTATAAAACATCTACTGATCTCAGGAGACACAAACACTGCGTGGATACGCCAAAATTGGTAGACATCTACTGACCTCAGGAGATACAAACACTGCGTGAGCACGCCAAGATTGCACTTTCTGGTCACAGTGGAGGAAAATATGAGAACGTAGTGAAGTTTTACGCCACTGGCTATGAATTTTATATCTCGAAAACATAACCAACAATTAATTGTGAAATCAAACAACAATAGATTACGACTCATTCAGATCAAAAGATGCACAAGCCTTCACTAATATTTGTCAAACAAATTGAAGTTGACTGTTATTTGCTAAAGAATATTATGCAGAGGGTAAGAAATCATCAAAGCAAACAGATCCCAGCATACAAGAACAGTTTTTTTTTCTTTGGATTGCATTAAGAATGTGCATAAACCTTCACTTATATTTGAAAAAAACACAATTTAGCTACCATATATTGTTATAATACTATCTATATAGATGATAAGTAATCTTTAAATCAATCGGATTACAACATAGTGTCCTTGTTTCAGATCTTTCACTACTTTTTTTTTCAAGAAAAAAATTTTTTTGTAAAAAGATGAAACGAAATGAATAAGGATAGAGAGGAAGACGACGAGAACGGAACTTTCACCTCAATTGAGACATTGAGAAACGAGGGGAAAAGGTTTCAGCACTAATTTATATTTGATTTTGTCAATATAAGAATACTAGTGTAATTTATGGCCTAATTTCTTAATTCTAAGTTTGTGAGCTTGATCCAGATGAGAATCGTTGTGAGAGCAAGTTTAGTTTCTTTATGACGACGATGGATCGCGATAAATATGGCAATGGCTTTTGGTGCGTTGAGAGTTTCCCCACTTACAAAAAACTATTGTGATCATTACTACTTTTTTTTTTGGTCCTTTTTTCAATTGTCATAAATTTCAGGGGAAGTTTGTGAAATTATACCTTCTTTATTTGGATAGGACGATGATGTAATTCATCTAAGAAGTAATACTCAATACATAGAAGTAGGGATGTTCATGAATCGGCTCACGAGCGACTCGAGTACGAGCTCGACTCGAGTTCGGTCAATATCGAGCTCGACTCGAGCTCGGTCAATATCGAGCTCGAGTCGAGCACTGAGGTCGAGTCGAACTCGAGCTAATTAAGTCGAACTCGAGCTCGAAAACATTAACCTCGTTGGGCTCGCGAGCTCAATTATATATATATTTTTTTATTTTTTATTTTAATAGTAAAATAACACATATATTCTTAATATTTTATTATTTGTTAAAAAATTATTATTTTATTTTTTTTAAAAAATAAATAATTATTTTTTATTTTTTAAAAATAAATTTATTATTATTATTTTTTATCTTTTAAGCCGAGCTTGACATTTTGAGTTCATCGAGCTCGAGCTCGAGTTCGAGCTTCACAAAATTAACTGGAGGTTCGACTCGATTAGACCAAAATTCGATTCGACTCGGATCGTTTGCACCCTTACATAGAAGTGTGCTAAAATCAATCTGTGATCATACTGCTTCTTTCTTTTCTTTTTCTTTCTTTTTCTGTAAAACTAATTTTCAATAGTCAAATCAAAAGTCGAAAAGATGCTACGGTAATGTTACACAAGCTGAGGTTTATCAAAACTATGGCATGGACCCCCTAATTTCCATTCTGATGTCAAAAGTATTATTCTTCTTGGATTGCTTAAAACATTAATGATGAATCTCCACTGGCTAATTAGTACATTTTTCAAACAAAATTTAGCCACTACAGTAATAATACTCTTATATGAAATTATTACTATTATAAGGACGGTAAGAAATCGTAACATGTAGTGTACTTCCTTCAGATCTTTTGTTTCCATCTTTTTTTTTCCCTTTTTTTTTTAACAAAATAAAGTTTTTGTAAAAACATGTGGAAAAATGAAAGTATAATACTAATATTTATTACAAATTATTAGAGTGCATGACTTGAGGGATTATACATGTGAGAACATGAATTAAAGAAATAGTTTTTTTTCTTAATTGCCGTAAACGCCCCCATGTGGTATAAGTATTACCCCTTTCTGGTATCGTTGTTGCCATCACACTGATGTGATCGCCTGAATTAAAAAGATAGGGTGTGTTTCGTAAGAGTGTTTCATTCCGATTTTAGAAAAATAAAATTTATTAAAATCCCCTGTAAATTAACACTCTATAACACTTTCAAGATATATAAAATCACTAAGAAGAAAAAAAAAAAGAAAAGCATTAGTTAGGGTACTGGTGGGGAAGATAATTGGCGGGTGGAGTAGTTGTGATCAACTATAATATGATGATTTGGTGTAGTTAGTATTATTATCTTTTTGCTGGCGTAGAAGTTCCATCATGCATCAGCCATTAGGAGGAGTCAAAATATATTCAGTTACCGGAGAACGAGGGACAAGAAAAGTGGGTTTAAAAGTTACTGAATTCGAGATAAATAAAACAGCGACACCACATTACAAAGCAACACAGGAGGAATCAGAGAGAACAAGAACAGACAATCACGTACGGAGTTCCCTCGCACTGGTGAGCGACTCCGTACGGTACAGCCGTAAATTAAAAGCTCCAAACTTGATGATGGAACTTTTTTATTGTACATATAGCAGAAAAACTAGGTTTTCAAAGTGCAGCATCGGGGGGAAGGACGTGGACCATGGCCTTCATCCCCTGTGAACACCAATATTGGTCGATACCTGCAGGAATGAAATACGAAAGTGCATCGAATGGAAGATCACTGAAGACGACCTGGCCGTCCTCTACCCGTTTCGTTGTTGTAGTCGGTGGATAAGGGACTGCTGGACAATTGTAGTAGTCAGACGGGCTAACTTTCGAAACCGAAGAAATGGTTGTTCCACACTTGATAACTGCAAAAGTCCAAACAAATTGGTACGCAAGAATTAGCGAAGTTCACGAATTAATACAGTTGAGGATTTAATATATCGGACGGTTAAACTACGTGAATAAGATTAATCACAGGCCTAAATAAATCTTTTGATCATCTCACCCAGGTCTTGGCCGTAAGGACAGACAGCAGTTTTAGTCCAGTCGTCGGGATTTTCAGAGCTCCAATCAACGGAGCAATCATCGGCAGAACTGAGGACGACAAAGCCCAAGAAGAGGAAGAGAAAACACATAATTCTGGTGGCACAGTTTGCCATTGCAGTCGTTTGCTGCACAATTTATCTGTTTTGTGTAAATGGCAAACACTGGTGGTGGTAGTAGTTGTAAGGGTGCTACCTATTTATAAGGAGTTCTGTCTGTGCAGGACTGAAGGAGAGGTGTGCCAAACAGGACCTTAACCTCGTATATATAAATTTGTTGGGGCCATCAAATAATGAACTCATTTAACTAACTAATGCTGAATTAGTGCTTAGACGATGGACCCTAATCTTAATCTCAAGTTAACCTCCTCTCTTTGGATTGCATGAAAAACGTGCAATAACTATCCACTAGCTAAATAGTGACGAGTGACATTTGTCAAACCAAAAATTGGGAACTATCCGAGTACCTCTCTTGTCTAGTACATGTACTAGAGGTACCTCGGCTCGGACCCTTTAGAACATTAGTTAAATACATAATAACAAATGTTTTAGTACATGATGAATAGAAATATATAGGAAAAATATTAAGTATAAAAATAATTAAAATTTGTTGTGAAAAGAAATTTCATATATAAAGTTAACCCCAATTTATTGTGATTTGGAAAAAGAATTTTTAACCAATATTATGTGTACGTAATGATGCCAAAAAAGAAAAGAAAGCAAATCCATTATGAGTGCATTATCGGTTTAATAGCAGCATAGTTTTAGTTGTAATTAAATAAAGAGTAGTCGTAATGTTTCTAATATTTTAATAATTAGAAAAAATATAGAAAGCCACAAAAACCTGTCACTATCTTCAACATCAATAAAAAAAATATATACAAACTTGCATATTTGTCTTTCTTTTTTGAGAGAAAGAGCGAGTTAATCTATCCATTTAAATCATGTCTAATAGCATTACAAATAGATGAAAACATTATCTAACCAAATAGTTATAGAATATGCATAGCAAGTTTAAATAAAAACATGAATTGCCATATTTGTAAATCTACATATGCAAATTCAAATCCAACAATTTGTTTGATTGCAAATATGTCTTCTTAATCAAAATAGAATTTTCTAATAATATTTTGTAGAGTGACACTCTAAACTAAAAGTCTCAATACTAACTTCCCACCAACTGCATTCCTTTGAAAACTGCAATTGTTTTAACTAGTCAAATCGACAAAATATTATTAACTTCTTTAGCCAAATAGTAATGATATGTCCAGTTCTATGCCTAACAATTATCTCAAACTCTAATTACATTATCTATCATTATGAGCAATAGAAAAGGATAAGAGTACAAAGTCATATAGAACGAGTTTAAGTAAAAGATTCTGAAATCTAATTTTGCACTTCTTTTATTTCCAAGCCATCATTTGCTAAAATTAAAACCATGAAAATAAACTACCTATTATGGATACAAGCTAGTTATTCAAAATGTTGAATGAAGAGATATAAAATATTATCTTCACATTCTAAATTGCCAGCCCCAACAATTATTTTACCCGTCATCCACCTTATCCAGTTTATAAGCACTTTTCACAATTAATAAACTTTATATAAATTAAAATATAATTACCTATCCATAAATTAAGAGATTCTGGTTATTTTTTAATTTAATAGGCATCATTTTTTCTTCCTGATCATCGTTTACCTTGGATTTTCATTTATTAGATTTTTTTCTCCTCTACTGTAGTACTATCACCCTATTATCAAATAACAGTTTTAACAAATAAAAAATTAGAATTAGAATGAATCTGCATAATGGTGTTATTTATTTTATGAGGGAAAAGTAGTTACAATTCTTTCATTGTTAGCCTAAAAATTCTTCATGTAATCACCACCCGTCTTGTTGTCAGCCTTTTCTAAAAATAAAAAGATCAAAAAGTAGATTCAGAATAAATAAAATATAAAAAACTAAAAAAAATGTTTCTTTAGATTTGGGGAAAAATATTCACAGCATCACATACCTATTTTGGGTAGAAAAGAAAGTCAGATGAAGAAGAAATAGGTGAGAAAAGCAATAAGCAAAGGTTGTTGATCAATACGCAAAAAATGACAAAAAAAAAATCAAATAGTATATACCAAAAAGAGACATTAAAAGTAGAAGATCATGAATCATGATTATTGAACTATGGAAGAAAGGAAATATCAAACCCATTCTTGATCTCCGATAATGAAATCATTCATTTAGTTAATTATGGACAAAAATGAAAGAAAATGCATCAACTAATCCAATAGAGAAAAAAATAGCATAAATGATTAATTAGGATAATAGGGGAAAAAAATAGAGTACAAAGTGGAAACTAAATAACAAACCTACAGTGTACATGAGGATTTGTTTAATTATCTTTAATCAAAAAGGAGAAAGGAAATAAAGTGAACAAAAGAAAAAACAAAGCAAAATGAAGAAAAGAAAAGGAATGAACCACGTGTCAAAATGAGAGAGATCCACTTGGCAATCATTGGAGTTGCTATAGTAACTCCACTTTCTTCTTATATAATAGGTAGACATGTTAAGTGGTTAAGAGAAGGCTATCACCATCTTTCTTAATATCAAGTTCAGAGCTTGAATTCTATACTTGGCAATTGGGGGTGGAAAGAACGTGGGAAGGGAGAATAGAGAAAAAAAAAGACAATAAACATACTTGTGTCAATTATTTTGTACGTGTATTTTTTCTTTTTCTAAGAACAACTTTGTAAAAAGACCCAAAAAAAATTGGGATGACAACGACGAGAAGGGAACTTTGTTTTAGATTTGTTTTGTCAATAAAGTAATTTCTATAGTGTCACTCGTGGCTTATTTCTTAATTATTTCTCAGCCTATGAGCTTTATCTGGATCTTGATACAGGTCATTATGCCGGGCAAGTTTCATTTCTTTACAAGGAAAAACTTGTTCACCTGATACTGTTTCAAAACTAGATGTTCTCGCATTCTAGGAAGTCATCTTGCATGCTTGTAAGAAAAAAGATTTTTTTTTTTTTTACTTTTTTGTTCTTCACTTGTACAATCATTGGGTGTTGTTTATGTGCATCCATATTAGTAATCTTCTAATTCCCATTTTGATTTACCAACTCTATGTCCTTGATGAAGCTGGCTACTGATTATGGATAAATGAGGATCAAAATCTCTGTTTTAAAACTCGGACCGGACCGGCTGGTCGAACCGGGAACCGGTCAGGTAGCCAGTCCGAGTCATATTAAAAAACCGGAAATTTAAAACCCAGTCAAAGCCAGTCAAAAACCGGGTTTGACCGGGAAAAAATCGGTTTTTCCGATTCAACAGTAATTTTTTTTAAAAAAAATCAAACTTTTTAATATTATGTTTTGACCCCCTAAATTGTTAAAACTTATTGATATACCTCAAATATTTGATACTTTATAAGTATTGTCCTAAAATTTGATGTTATTTTTCAATTCAATTCATAATTTTAATTCTAAACTTGTTAATATTTATTAAATAATATAAATTGCTACTTGATTGTTCTAATTTCTTTGTATTTTCTTGTTAAATATATTTGAAACATCAAATATATATGAATATACCTTTATTAATATCAATATATTATTAGATATTATATATATAATATTTTAATTTTTAAATAATTTTTATTTATGACGTCATCCGGTTCGACCCCTATCGATCCCGGGTCGAACCCATTGACCCCTGACCTCGGCCGAGTCACTATCCGGTCCGGTTCTGAAAACATAGATCAAAATCCATCCTAGTGCTGGAGTACTTTAATAAATGCTATGGCCGGATAGAAGAGTACATTTCACCATGACACTTAAATTCTAAATCTTTTGTTTCGTTGACAAATTGTTCACATATAAACATTTCAGGACATAAGTACAGTTTAACATTAGAACTTAGTAAATGAAATTATATTCCACAGTCAAATTCGAACTCCAACTTCAAATTATTGTGACTAAATTTCACTTTGTACCTTTAAATTATAAGCACGGTTTCTCTTTAGTTTTTAAACTTTATTTTTGGATGCTTTGCCCCATAAAATATGAAATTCATCCACTTTAATTCTTGAATTTCAATTTTAGACATTTTAGTCCATCGATCCCACGAAATTGTCAAAAAAAAAAAAAAAAACAAATAGATGTACTTATTTTTGGACAAAAAACAATTTACATACAAACATCTTGTGCGGCTCCTTAAAGGCAAACTTTATTTCCCTCATCTTTCAACGACCAAATCCGTTCCTGCCTTTTTCTTTCAACAATCTGACAACAAGATTTAATAAAATTGTGTCTTCCAATCATCCAACTACAAGATTTAGTAAGATTGTATGATTAATTCTGATTAGGAGAACTGAACCTACTACTATTTCCATAGAAGGTCAAGGGGATTAGGGGAATTTGAAACCTCTTTCTTTCATGGTAAACTATGTTTTCTACATCTATTAAATTGTCTTTTGTCCATAAAAATGTATATTTTTCAAAAGTGTTTAAGCATACTCATCTTCTAATAAGACTTATTATGCTACAAGTAAGATCAAATATATGGTTTGAATGTACACAGGCTGCCTTTAATGTGTTCTATGATTGATTTTTTTTCTGATTCCTAGATTTGAAACATAAGAACCAGAATGATATCAAGAGACTCTGGAATCTTGTTTAGAGAACATGTATAGACTTGATCGCGTAGATTTGACGATGATGGCTTCCAGTGGCTTTTGTAATCCTTGATTCTGCCCCAACCAGACTAGAGTGTTTTTAAACTCAGATAGGCAAGTGAATCGGTTAAGCTTCCTTTTTTCGGATTTTCTGGTTCAATTGGTTTGACCGACGGATTCAACAGTTCTCTGTTTTTCACTTATTTTAAAATAAAAAAATTATGAATAATATGATATTAATTAAAAGAACAAAATAATCTTGAAAAATTACATATGAGAAAAAATAAATTTTATATACATTGTATGTACATTATCATAGTTAGATGCATGACAACTCATCTTTCGATACAAAACAAAGGAGAATTGCAGAGTTGATGAAAAATGTCAACCTCTGCCAAAGTCAAGCAAACTCACGTTATGATGTGAGAATCCAAAAATGTTAAAAACAAGAAAAAGAAAAATCACAGCAAATTTATTGATAGACAAGAGACATTTAAAAAAACCATAAAAAGGAAAAATGAGATTGAGAAGCTATGGTTTCTATTGA